TTGTGTGGATGCATGTGGATGATGGGGTTGTTTTTACAAATTCAGTGGCGCTCCGGGATGAAGTCAAGGAAGGTATGGAGAAGGACTTGAAGATTAAGTGGGAATACGGGATATCGAGAGTAGTGGGGATTGATGTTGAACGAAAGAATGGGATCCATCTCTCTCAATCTCATTTGGCATCTCAGGTGGTGACGGAAGCAGAGAAATACTTTTCCAAATCAATCCTGTCGGTTCGAACTCCATTGCCGGATGAAAATCTTGTCACTTGCTTTAACCGGGAACCTGTTGAAATTACACAATATCAGCATTTTATTGGTTGTCTTAATTATCTGTCCCTTGGTACTCGGCCTGACATCTCTTATGCTGTTAACTATCTGGCAAGGTATTCTCAAAATCCGCAACAATCACATTGGAGGGCACTCATTCATCTTGTAGGCTATGTTAAAGCAACACTAAACAAGAAGTTGGTCATCTCTCCTCGAGGCGCTGATTTGGATCTCTGGGTGGATGCTGGATGGGGTGGTGAATTTTCGAGGTCAACATCAGGTTTTTTGGTTCGTCTTGGCGGAGCAGTTGTAGCTTGGGGGTCGCGAAGGCAGAAAACAGTTGCCATGTCAACTTGTGCGGCTGAATACATCTCGATGGGCTCTGGGATTGAGTTTTTGATTTTTCTGAAGAATTTGGTGGAAAGTTGTTGGAGAAAGGTTGGAGGAGTTGTGTTTTGTGACAACAAAACTGCTATCCTGGTAATGGAGGACAATGCATCACGTGGCCGTCTCAAGCATCTTGATCGACAATTCTTCTACTCCAATGAAATGATCCGAAAACATGATCTCAAACTCACATGGACAAAGACAACTGAACAGTTGGCAGACGTGCTCACAAAACGGCTTGGACCACTTAAACAATCTCAGGCAATATCTTCATTTTTTGCGTCTTGATTTTCATTCTGTGTGATTCTCTGTTTCTCTCGCAATTTATTTGCTTTATTATGGCTTCTATTTCTGTCATTTTATGTTTATTTCTCTATCCTATTTCTTTAATTCAGTGGAGGACGATGCAAGGTTTGAAGGGGGGTGTTGAGGAGTATGCATTTAGGTTAGCAAACCTTGCATAGAAGGTGATAGAATGTTCTAGGTTTTTATCTCAGCATGTATATAGCTTAGCCAGTTTTGTCAGTATGGTAGAGAACAGAAGGGTTTTTTCTCGTTATTCGATCTCAACACGAGTATCAAGTGCTGACTGACCGGGGACTATGCGCTTCCCGTGTCCCCCGCTTCTCGACCACCGAGATGACTTCTCAACTGGAACTCTTCTTGTAGTCGACATCACTTCAGCAACCACCGTACAAGAATCTTGAACATTTCAACCCGAAAAAGATAGGCACTCCTAGCTCTCATGATCAAGCAGAATCTCAGCACCCACTTCATTTCAGCTCGAATATCATCCGCCAATCGATCATCACATCGTCTTCCTACCCGAGCAAACCCGCATTCGTTATCCGCTGCATATTCCTGCTCCTCATCTTCCAATTCATTCAATTTCCCCCGCTCTCCATCCCCCACCCCCTTCGAGATATTTCATTTACCCCCCTCCGCCTCGACCAACCAGATCAAGGAGCGTTACTACCAGCTAGTCAAAATCTACCATCCCGACGTAGCTTCAAATAACAACTCATCATCAAGCTCAATCAAGGAAGATGAAATTACGAGGAGGTTCAAGCTGATACGGGACGCATACGAACTGTTGAGCTCACCAAGTCGCAGGCAACGTTATATCCGCTTCCAAGAAGGATGGGGGAACCCCCGGCCTCAAACTCCCAACCGGAGTTGGAGGAATAACGATAGCTCAACAAGATGGACGAATCAGTCAGCCTATTCGGACCCCTATCTCAACCTATCATATGTTTGGAGGCAATTAATGAGTAGACGCCGGTCAGCCCGGGCGGGATTCTATTCGAGTGCCGACGACGATCAGGCTCATAATTGGTCTAACAATTATCATCGACAGGACTCATCATACACGTTCAAACAACAGTGGGAACGAGACGGCTTATTCGCTAAGAACGGCATCTTCATCACCTCCGTGGGCTGTTTTAGTCTCTTTCTCTATCTCTTACAACTTTGGAGGGTGCTTCCCCTAGTCGGATCGGATGCGTCGGATAAAGAACATAGCAAGTTCCGGAAGTTCGTCGAGCCGGCTGGAGATGAGCGCTTGGACCGGGAGGCTTGGGCAAGGCTGCACCCGATGCCGTTCACCAACATAGCTCCCAATAGCAGACTCTCACAAACCACCAACCCCCCCGCTCCTTTACTTATTTCTTCACCTCAAAATCCTAGCCAAGCCTCCGAAAAACAGCCTAATCATCGCTTTTACTCAAGCTCCTTCCAGGACCGTATCCAGAAACAAAACCTCAAGGCTGTCTCCGATCTCAAATCTGCTCGTGCTGCCGCCGTCAAACCCAGCGTCTTCTCTAATCGCATCTCTCCAACTCCTTCTTCCACCAACACCTCACCCTGATCATCAATCAAACCAAAACGTTCCCTTTCATCGTTTTTTTTACCTTCCTTTGTATACTCGGTATCCATTCCTTCATTCAGATAGACCTCTGTAACATTTCACCACAAAAAAAAAAAACCACAATCTCTTTTTCTTTCTTCCTGCACACGAGAAGCACAACTATTTAGCTAGAATCACCGGATTGTAACCTCATCTCTCAAATAAAAATATGAACGAACCATTGCTGTTGTACCAAAATGATCTCGTTCGTTCATGTGTTTGCACAGTTTGCACACTGCAGCGCCAGTTCCGATCCGGTCCGGACATCCCCTCTTTCGAGTCGGATCGACTATCGAGTCACATGATCTGGATTTGTCCGGATTTCCAAGACCCCGGATTGCGGACACGAAAAAAGAAAAAGAAGATCACCTCAACAGGGATTAACCAAGATGGCCGCCAAAGCGCATGAGACTCTCAACCCACCAACTCAACTCTCTCTCCCGGGCTCTTCGTCTGATCCTACTCTGGAAAGGAAGGCTTTCTCTGCCGACGATAACTCGGGTCCCACCGTCCCTGAGAACGCTCCCGAACATTGTCCTGGTGAATAACTAAGATGGATTTATTTTTATTGAAACTCGGTGGCTGACAGAAAGACTTATCTGCGCGTCATGAAAACCCAACAGGCATAGAGTCCAAGTTAGCGGGAAGTGCGTCGAGTTGTGCGGGCTGTGAGAACCAAGCGATCTGCCAGAGTTTCTCAAACGGCGTCAATAGCGAGGAGCAGAAACTGGCAGACTTGAATGACTTGCTCAAGATCAACCAACGCTTCCGCAACGTCAAACATAAGATCTTAGTCCTCTCTGGCAAGGGTGGCGTCGGTAAGAGCACCTTCACTTGTGGCCTCGGTTGGGCTTTTAGTGCCGATGGTGATAATGTACATATCCTCCTTGTCTCTACTGTACTTGCTTCATTAACCCCTTTTTTCTTTAAAAAAAATCATAAATATTGATTATATCTTGTCATAGACCGCCTTGCTGGACATCGATATCACCGGCCCCTCTTTGCCCATGATGCTAGGTCTTTCTCCAGATGTTCATCGTCTACATTCTACCTCTACTGGTTGGTCACCTCTTTACGTCTCTGAAACCCTCAGTGTCATGTCAATCGTAAGTGTGATATAAATGACTACCACCTTGTGATGTTCTAACAACTTACCTGGGCTGCCTTTGTTTCACTCCAAGGGCTTCATGCTACCCAGTACCGACTCGGCAGTGATTTGGCGAGGTCCAAAAAAGAATGGAATGATCAAACAGTTCTTGAAGGATGTTGACTGGTGTTCGACAGACGAGGATGAAGAAGAGCTCAGCCGAGAAGAAACAGTGAAGGAGGGGCGGAGGGAAGATAAGGGAGAAGGGATCGAGTATATGATTATCGACACGCCACCGGGCACGACGGATGAGCACCTGTCGATAGTCAGTTACCTCAAACAGACGGGAATCACAGGAGCGATTGTCCTCACGACACCGCAAGAAGTAGCGATCCAGGATGTCCGACGGATCATCTCGTTCTGCAAGAAGACCAAGGTAGAAATCCTAGGTCTGGTCGAGAACATGTCTGGGTTCGTCTGTCCCAACTGTAACGGCACATCGGAAATCTTTCTGCCTACCACCGGCGGGGCCGATAGACTCTGTCGGGATGAAGGTCTCGAACTGCTCGGCAAAATCCCACTCGATCCTAGGATTGGTAAGGGCTCCGATCATGGCCTCGATTGGCTGAACTCCTATCCCGATAGTCTTGCAACAAAGGCTTACTACGATATCGTCGATAAGGTCAAACTTAAAATTCTGCAGCGCTCTTCTTCCTGACCCTCGCATCATTCTTTCGCTTCTTCTCTCTCTCCCTCTCGCGTGCAAGCTTGAAGCTCCTTCTGAGAATCATCATTGTCATGTAGCAATGCAATGGTCATCATTCCCACCAGCGTAACATCAGGGCACATAGGAAGAAAGCGTAATGCCCCTTTTGTGCCCAGGCCTGATTGACCATACAGAAGACATTGTTGGCGCGAGGTGCAAAGATGACACGAGATATGACACGTTAATTGAGCGATGAAAGGCAATGAACTCTTTATGCGTCTTCTTGACCACCGTTTTGCCCCACTTGGCCGGCGTAACCATCTCACCCAAACGACGACCTGAAGAACCAGCACTGTTTCGTCCGCTTAAAGTGGCGGTGGAACCCCCTTCCTCTGACTATGTTCTTTGAATCCAATCTTCGATCTTAACGTCCACCAACTCCCGAAAAACTCGTGCAGCACGCGATCTTCTCGCCTAAATGTCCTTCTACTCTCTTGAACTCACCCGTTGCATCTTTGCTTGACTCCAATCCTCTCTTGATCCGCGTGTCTTCTCTTTTCTCTGAAGCCTTTTTAAACGCCGCTTGAAAGTCTTTTGTGTCAAGAAAGATATATTATCTTATAGCCCAAAACGCGCTGATCAAGCATGGCGTTGTTAGGCTAGCGGTAAACTGGGGCCTTGCCATCGTGGCGAGTGGCCTCGTCAGGGGTTCGACTCCCCTACAACGCATTCACTGAATGGCATTTTGTTTTTGCTTAGGCGCCCCCATTGCATTTTTTCTTCTCAGTGAGCTCATTTTTTTTCAATACTGCCATCACACGTTGGAGCTGCTGTAATTGGAATTGCTCGTCAAGAAGTCCTACCCCAACCCACGTTGACGTTTGCTTCATTCTCCTGAAGGGTTGTGGTCCATTGACCATAAAATCAATATCTTCATGGCCCATCACCAAAAGGACCATTAGGAGTTATATTATTATTATTTTTTATAGAAAATGGGCAGGAAACCTATGGCAGGAAACCTATATAGAACATACAAGTTTTACACAAGTTTCGTTGGATTTCATTCAACGCACAATATTGGAGAAAGAGGTTTGGAGGAGGAGGATGTTATTTGTGGATTTTGACAGATTTGTTGAAGCCGTGACTGGAGCTCAAGTTGGATGCAAACTTGGCAGGATTGTTATTATGATTTTGGTCGCGATTGTTGAGATAGAGATAGCGATCGATCAGCTTGATTACCCGTCAGGACATGATTGGCCACGGTGTGTGTGTGTGTAAGAGAGAGACAGAGAGAGAGAGTGAGAGAGAGAGAGCAGAGTCAGTCGACAAGAATGCGCCCCCCCCAAGAAATCATTCCCGGATTTGGGTCAATACTTGAGTAGGTAATAGACGGGTCTGCGGAACCACTCAACTTGATTCGTTTCGGTTAATACTCGGCTTTGGCTCGATAGATAGGATGTCAGCAAAGCATCGTTAGATTCCTGGATTGGTTTGGGGAGCAAGAAAATCATGGGTGTACCATAGTTCAGTTGGGATGTGACAAACACAAGCTTGGCCTCCTCTTTATTTTATTTTGGCTAGAAGGGTACTGACGATCATGTATTCCTTCTGAAAAGAAAGGTTCTCATTGGGGTTGGATAGAGAGGCCACTAATGAGGATATTTCTCGCAAGAGATCGTGGTCGATCTTAGGTGCGGAAGGTTCAGCTTCCAGGCTAGCCATCAACTGGACTAGATAATCTACGATCGCGCCCAGTTTGTGGTGGAGCATTTGTATGGCATTCCTTTGGGTGATCAGATTGGCCACGACTATGGGCCATAAGAAACAGGAGCGCAGTAAATCAACACCCGGAGCCAAGATCTCATCGTGCGTATGGAAAGGGGGGGGGGACGCACGGCCACTCTCTTTACTTCCGGCGTTAGGCTTGGCCACGCAATCCACGGCAATGCGTTCGGCTTCGCTTGTCTGGACGTCAAAGGTACACTTGACGAATGCCTCTCCATCACTCACGCCCGTGGACTGAGTGAATTCGAATATCTGCACCGGTAACTCCTTCCGGCTGGTCGTGCCACTCGACTGGGTCCGTAAGGGGTCGTAAAACATCAGTATCGGGCTCGAAAGATCCGTGCTTTCCGATAGCTGGTTCAGGATCGCTAGGTCCCTTTCTCGCGGCTCCTGCCCGTTCGTGTACCATCCTAATAGATCTAATGTCGGAAAAACTTGCTGGACTTTGTTTTGGGGAATTCAATTTATGTCAGAACGCTGGTAACGATAGATATCATATGCTCCGGGAAAAGCTGTTCATTCTTTGAGGGGACCGCTGACATTGCTCCCTCCTAGTTTTGAGGAATCCATCGTTTACTTTCCCGTCGGGATCAGTCAAAATTTCGAAGGAATTTACGATTTCGATTTTTTTGCCGACCTGGGTTCCGATCAAAGCTCCAAAGACTTGGGCGGGAGAGTACACAGCATGAGAATATGTGCGCAAGCGTCTTTCGATGTTCAAGGGGCTCCTGATGTAAGGACTAGGCTTACTGTCTATGTCTTGTCGTTCGGATTGAAGTCGCGTTCGCGTGAAGTGGTCGGATACATTCAAGATGGGCAGGGGATGTCTGGAGAGAAAAGCAGGTTAGGGTGGGGATGGCACGCAAAACGAAGTGAGTGGATGTGGCCTACAAGCTGATATCGAGGTCTGAGAGGTGCGTCGACTGGCTAATGAGTGGGTTTGACTGCGTTGCTTGCGGTTGGTTGGCCATCGAAGTGTAGGGTGTATGCGTCTTGGGGCCGGGCACAGGGGGCTGCCATATCCACACAGACTTTAATATTAGCCTGCAAAGTGCAAAACCGTCAACACATTTCAGAAACTACACATATCACATATAGCCCACATCACACCACTATCCCAAAGTACACAACCCCACCTCTTTCACATAACATGTTGACCACCACACAGTACAGCCATGTAACATAGACAGAATACATCCATAATTGAGGCTAAAGAGTCTGCTGCAATAGACAGACCCCCTGCAGATGAGAATTTCAGAAGGCACATATGCATAATATGTACAGTGCCCGGAAAGTTTACAACAACAAAAAAAAAAAAAAAAAAAATAGAAGGAAA